ATTACTATGCTGGGGAAGATTGTGGTGAGGAACTGGTTAGGTTGATAAAAATCAAGAGCTCCAGCTTACATATACTAGATCGGACATGCCAGCAACACCTCCAAGTTGACTATCTGACTTGGGAACTCAGAGGACAGATCTACTCTACTATGGAAATATAAATTTAGATGGTATTTGGTCTTGAAAAGGTTATCACATAAGTAGAGAACAGTTGTTAAAAAGTACCCAGAAATGAATGCCAAAATATCTCAGCATTTAGAAGTCCTATGAGTGAGGAGTCAGCAACGGAGAGGGATCACTGAAGCAGGAGAAAAATCATGAGTGTGGTGTCACAGAGGCCAGTGAGAGGTGCTTCACGAAAGACAGAGGGCCATCTATGTGGAAGGATGCTAATAGGTAAGAAGAGACAAGTATAGATTTTTTTAATTTTTATTTAAAAAAATTTTAATGTTTATTTTTGAAAGAGAGAGACAGAGTGTGGGCAGGGGAGGGGGACAGAGACGGAGACAAAGAATCCAAAGCAGACTCCAGGCTCTGAGCTGTCAGCACAGAGCTCGTCACGGGGCTTGAACTTACAAGCTGTGAGATCAAAGTGAACCAAAGTTGGATGCTTAACCAACTGAGCCACCCAGGCGCCCCTAGATTTTTTTTTAAATTAAAGTTTATTTATTTATGTATTTATGTATTTATTTATTTATAGAGGAGGGAGGGAGGGGCAGAGAGAGAGAGAGAGAGAGAGAGAGAGAGAATCCTAAACAGGCTCTGTGCTGTCAATGCAGAGTCTGATGTGGGGCTCGAACCCACAAACCATAAGATCATGACCTGAGCCGAAGTCAGGAGTCAGACAGTCAACCGACAGAGCCGCCCAGGTGCCCCAGTATAGATTTTTTTAAATGTTTATTTATTTGTTTTGAGAGAGCGAGCGAGCAGGGGAAAGACAGAGAGGGAAAGAGAGAGAGAATCCCAAGTAGGCTCTGTGCTGCCAGCACAGAACCCAACTCAGGGCTTGAACCCACGAACCATGAGATCATGACCTGAGCCAAAATCAAGAGTCAGATGTCCAATCGACTGAGCCACCCAGGTGCCCCGAGATTAGTATAGAGAAGTGTTTATTGGATTTTGCAACATGTGGATCACTGGCATCCTTGGCAAGGAATCCTTAAAGGAGAAGAGTGGGCCAATTGGGGTGGATTTAAGAGGAAACTGAGGTGAGGAACTGGAGACCTCTAGTGTAGATTTGTTTTAGTTTTGTTGTAAAGAGGAATGAAGTAATGAGATGATAGACTAAAAGGAAGGTTTTGTTTATTTTGAAAATGGCAATGTTCCAGGGGCGCTTGGGTGGCTCAGTTGGTTAAATGACTGAGTCGATTTTGGCTCAGGTCATGATCTCCTGGTGGTGACATTGAGCCTGGCATCGGGCTCTGTGCTGGGAGTGGAGCCTGCTGAAGATTGTCTCTCTCTCCCTCTGCCCCTCCCTCACTCATGCTCTAGCTCTCTCTCTCTCAAAAAATAAAAAATTAATTTAAAAAATTTTAAAGGTGGTAATATTCCAATAGAAGTAATGATACAGCAAGGAAAAATCCTTGAGAAGACATGAGGGGGTGGGATCCATATACTAGAAGGGGGAGTCTGCCCTTTGATAGGGGCAAAGACACATCTTTCATGGTATCAGGAAGGAAGACAGAAAAGATAGGTATAAATGCAAGTAGGCCTTGGGTGGCTCAGTTGGTTAAGTGTCTGACTTCAGATCAGGTCATTATCTCATGGTTTGTGAGTTTGAGCCCCGAGTTGGGCTTGCTGGTGTCAGCTTGGAACCTGCAGCCTGCTTCGGATTGTGTCTCCTACTCTCTCTGCCCCTCCCCTGCTCATGCTCTGTCTCTCGCTCTCTTAAAAATAAATAAACATTAAAAAAAAGAAATGCAAGTAGGCTTGAGGCTTTCCAGCTGGATGAGAATGTTGCTCTCTGATGATTTTTATTTTCCCCCAAAAATAGGAGAATTCATTATGGTGGAGTGAGAGAAGAATGTGTAGGAGTTTGAAGAGAAAAAGCATGAAATACTCTATCTCTGAAAGAAGGGAAGTGAGAAAGTAAATTTACTAGTGAAATTCAGTAAGATGCCAGAAAAAGTCTAATGCCCTTTTGAGGTTTGTGGTCAAGAACTTAAATTGAAAGCCTCAGCTCTCATTAAGAAGGTGAGGATTGGGATTAGTGTAATGGAGAAAGAGGAAAACAAGACAATCATGACATCTAAACCTGGTGACACAAGTTATGACCATAAGAACGTGAGAGATAGTGAAAAAGCAGTACATTTAATGATTTGGAGGTTTTGAGGAAGTCAAAGAATCAAGAGGTACTGATTGGACAGTTACAGTTACAGTTACTGATCAGACAATTGAGATTCTTGAAAAGGAGATTTTAGAGATGGTGTAGTTACTGGCAATAACAAACACAGGGCGACTATGATGGGGGTTGGGTAGCTACTATAGGATAGAAGATTGTTGGAGGTAAAGAATTGACAGAGTATTGGGTATTCATCCACCTAGATGTTGAATGATGAGCAGAAATAGAGATGGAGAGGAGGACAATGAGCCATGGCCTAGTATTAATTGAGGGAGGAATGATCGATGCATCAAAAGGTCCATAGATGACAGTAACTAGGAAGGGTGTTAAGGGATACTGTTAGAAGATGCTGTACGAAGGAAGAAGGATGGTGCCCATTGGTTGATTCCATACAGATATTTTAACGTTGTAATTTGGAAGTATCTTAATCTGTCCACAAAGTATTGAGTGCTAGGAATTAAGGAAAATGTTATATTCCTCCTGTGACTTGTGCTTGTAAATTACTAGTCTACACACACGCTCACACACAGTCAAAACTTCCTTTTTTAACAAAGAGTTCACTAACTTAAGCCTATTCCCAAATTTATACTGCTAGAACAAACCTGTACTCCGCTGAGGTTCCAAAATGAAATCAGTAAGCTTGGGTGTGTGAAATCGGTAAGATTTTAGTTCTCAAATTTAATTGGCCCAGAACAAGGTAGAGTAGATAGTAGATACACGTAATTTATGCTTTTGAACCCGAGAACGGAGAACAGCTGTTCTTTCAGGGCAAGGATACCCGGAGGCAGCTCTTGGGAGTAATCAACAAAGAAAAGGGTCCTCTAACATCTCTACCCAGGAGCTGATAGGGCCGTGGCTTATCAGGGAAAACTGCTCTGGCGAACCCATTCAAATTTCTCACAGCAAATCACAGTGGCCTGCAGCCAACTCCTTTTCTGCTCATTGGCCAACTGGAAACTTCAGCCCCTCCAAGCCTCCCTCCTCTCATCCGGAAGCCAATCGGAAAGATTAGCGTTCCGTCACTTTGTGTCATCAAGTACCGTACTTGCAATTGGCTAATGGAGCTACAGATCGAGAAGTAGGCGGGGCCAAGCCAGCTGGCCTATATAAGAGGAGGACAAAGGCGGCGCGCCGCCTGTGTCATCCGCCATCTTGTGCGAAGCAAGGTGGCCTCCACGTTCCCAGAGCGTCTTCTCCGCTTCTGCCTCGACCGCCCCTTGATTACAGACATGTCTCGGGATCGGTTCCGGAGCCGTGGCGGTGGCGGTGGCGGCTTCCACCGGCGCGGAGGAGGCGGCGGCCGCGGCGGCCTCCACGACTTCCGCTCCCCGCCGCCCGGCATGGGCCTCAATCAGAACCGCGGACCCATGGGGCCCGGCCCGGGCCAGGGTGGCCCCAAGCCCCCAATCCCACCACCGCCTCCGCACCAGCAACAGCAGCAGCCACCACCGCAGCAGCCGCCACCACAGCAGCCGCCGCCACTTCAGCCACCACCGCATCAGCCGCCGCATCAGCAGCCGCCGCCGCCGCCACAGGACTCGTCCAAGCCCGTCGTTCCTCAGGGACCCGGCCCGGCTCCTGGAGTGGGCAGCGCTCCGCCGGCCTCCGGCTCGGCACCGCCCGCCACTCCCCCGACCTCTGGGGCCCCTACGGGCCCAGGCCCCACCCCGACCCCGCCGCCCGCTGTCACCTCGGCGCCCCCCGGGGCGCCCCCGCCCGCGCCGCCGAGCAGCGGTGTCCCCACCACCCCACCTCAGGCCGGGGGCCCCCCGCCTCCACCCGCAGGGGGCCCGGGACCCGGTCCTAAGCAGGGCCCAGGACCCGGGGGCCCGAAAGGCGGCAAAATGCCAGGCGGGCCGAAGCCCGGCGGCGGCCCGGGCCTAAGTACTCCTGGCGGCCACCCCAAGCCGCCACACCGAGGCGGCGGGGAGCCCCGAGGAGGCCGGCAGCACCACCCACCCTACCACCAGCAGCACCACCAGGGGCCCCCACCCGGCGGGCCTGGTGGCCGCAGCGAGGAGAAGATCTCCGACTCGGAGGTGAGTATCTCCCGGAGCTACGCGTCGGTTTCCCTAAGATGGCGGCGGCCCCCTCCTCCTTCCTTTCCCGGCCTCCATTTTGTCGGAGACCGGAAAGAGCGCGTGCGCGCGGGCGGCCGAGGGCGGGGCCGCTGCCGGAGTAGGACGGCCCGAGGGAGGCTGGCCTGGGGAGGCAGGCGATGACAAGCTGCCCTGAAAAAGCTAGCGGGTCCTGGGAACCAGACTAGAGCGTGCTGTGTAGGGTTGGAGAGATCTGGGAACTTCGGCCTTACAGGAGCAGGCACAAGTCATGTGGGTGACAGCAGGGTTTTGGTCATTTTTTTTCATGTAATACTTGATTTGACTTAACGTCTGCTACGATGTAGATTTGTTAGCGACACTAAGCATATACAGCTGACGAGGTTGCTCATGTAGAGTCGAGTCTAGAGAGGGCTGTAGGTCTATTCTCGAGTGTTCTGGATGGTTTGGGCTGTTTGATGTTCGGATAGTTAACTGCATTGGAAATCCGCAAATAAGTAAAACTTTGTTTTGAATTTAAACGGCATTGAAGAATAACTCCGTTGGTGGTGTTACCCAGGCTGGGAAAAGCGAACATTGTTACTGAATTTTCCTACTTGATGAGGTGACTGGTGTCTGAAAAATTTCCTTCCTTTTTCATTAGGGGTTTAAAGCCAACTTGTCTCTCTTGAGGAGGCCTGGAGAGAAAACTTACACTCAGCGTTGTCGGTTATTTGTTGGGAATCTACCTGCTGATATCACAGAGGATGAATTCAAAAGACTATTTGCTAAATATGGAGAACCAGGAGAAGTTTTTATCAACAAAGGCAAAGGATTTGGATTTATTAAACTTGTGAGTTTTTTTTTAATTTAAAGTGGATTTAGAAGAGTGTTTTCATTTTTTGCTACTGCAGACGCTAGCATTCAAACCAACAGCAATAAGTTGGTTTTTAAATTTTTCACCTTTTTTACAAACAAGATGCCACTTATATAGCGAATAATTGTTGGTACCTAAGAAAAGGGGAGAGTGGGTGGATAAGACATTTAACTACCTACCCTGAGTGGTGTCTGGGAGGGTTGCTTGAACTGAGCCTGAGGAAGAAAAGGAGTGGGAGTTAAGCTTTTAACAGTTTCAGAGTGGACATTAGCCAATAGGAGGTAATTAACATGAGCATGTCTGATAACTTTCAGGAATCTAGAGCACTGGCTGAAATTGCCAAAGCTGAACTTGATGATACACCGATGAGAGGTAGACAGCTTCGGGTTCGCTTTGCCACACATGCTGCTGCCCTTTCTGTTCGAAACCTTTCACCTTATGTTTCCAATGAACTGTTGGAAGAAGCTTTTAGCCAGTTTGGTCCTATTGAAAGGGCTGTTGTAATTGTGGATGATCGCGGGAGATCTACAGGGAAAGGCATTGTTGAGTTTGCTTCCAAACCAGCAGCAAGGAAAGCATTTGAAAGATGCAGTGAAGGTGTTTTCTTACTAACAACGTAAGTTCTTGTGCTTATCTTAATTTTTATTTGTTAACTTGGATGAGGAAGTTGAAACAAAACTGAAACGAAGTTAAGACAGAACCATTTTTGTTACTAGAACTCCTCGTCCAGTCATTGTGGAACCACTTGAACAATTAGATGATGAAGATGGCCTTCCTGAAAAACTTGCACAGAAGAATCCAATGTATCAAAAGTAAGATTGATTTAAATTTTAAGCATTTTTCTTATTTAAGTCCAAACAATTTGCAGTAATTTTTCACTTTTGCTTAGAAAATGCAAAATTCTTCAAATGCATATATGCTTGATAGAAATCTAAGGCTCAGGAAGTTTAGAGGTTTTGAAGCAGAGATCTTCAAATGCCTAGTATTCATTGTTGAGATAGGTGTAGTTTACATGCAATTTTGTTTTGTCTTTAGAACAGTTGTGTGATGAATAGGTATCTTCCTTTTTAAGAATGGAAAACAATATACTCCTTGATTAGGCATTTGGTTAGAGGAAACAGAATTAGGAAATGAGGAAGGTAGGATTGCTTTTCGGTGCCCGTTATTTTCTGTTACCATAGAATTCTGGGACATGTATTACTTTTTTACATAAAGGTTTAAAAATTTTAAAATGTTGATTCATTTTTGAGAGAGTGGGGAGGGGCAGAGAGAGAGGGAGACACGGGATCTGAAGCAGGCTCCAGGCTCTGGGCTGTCAGCACAAACTGGAAGATAACAACCTGAAGTGAAATTGGGTGCTTAACTGAGCCACTCAGGCGACCCAAAGATTTTATTTTTAAGTAATCTCTGCACCCCGTACGGGGCTCAAATTCATAAGGCTCAGATGCACAACCGCAAAATCAAGAGTCATGTGCTTCTGACTGAGCCAGCCAGCCATCTTGGGACATGTATTATTTCTGATGTAAAGCTATTTTTTAAAATTTATTTATTTTGAGAAAGAATGCGAGTGGGGAGGAGCAGAAAGAGAGAACCCAAGCAGACTCCATGTTGTCATGATGCGCAGAGCCCAACTCAGGGCTTGATCTCATGACGCTGAGATGACCTGAGCCAAAACCAGAAGTTGGACGATTAACCAACCGGCTGAGCCACCCTGGCGCCCCTGCCATCCCCTGCCTTTGGGTATTTCTTAGAGTCGATAGGCCAGGGGCAAAATCAGTGTTTTTAGGGTAATTGAGTAGTCTTTCTTATGTGCATCCACAAATCGGTTCATGTTGAAATATTGTCAGGGAGAGAGAAACCCCTCCTCGTTTTGCCCAGCATGGCACATTTGAGTATGAATATTCTCAGCGATGGAAGTCCCTGGATGAAATGGAGAAACAGCAAAGGGAGCAAGTTGAAAAAAACATGAAAGATGCAAAGGACAAATTGGAAAGTGAAATGGAAGATGCTTATCACGAACATCAGGCAAATCTTTTGCGTCAAGGTAAAAAAAAAAAAAAGATCCTGTTGTGTAAATTTCACTGATAGGCTGAATTGCTTTTTGAACTTTTTAGAACCCCGTTAATGTGAATTCACAACAAAATTTTCTAATGTTTAGATCTGATGAGACGTCAGGAAGAATTAAGACGCATGGAAGAACTTCATAATCAAGAAATGCAGAAACGTAAAGAAATGCAGCTAAGGTAAAATTTTGTTAAACTAAATTAAGCCTTCTGCATAAACATTTAGAGGAAAAGATACATCTAAGTCTTGCAGGTGAGTGTGTTGGCATACAGAGGTTAAATACTGACATATGTCAGTGTTGGTTTGACACTAAATCAGAGTAGAGTGTAAGGTTTTCATTTAGGACACCAGTTTTCTTTGCCAGAATGCTTCTAGGTCTGTTCTAGACTCTCTTCAGGCTTTCCTGTGTGTTTGCTCCAATCTAGACTTTGTAATTTTTTTTTTTTTAATGTTTATTTTTGAGAGAGAGGGTGAGCGAGCCAGGGAGGCGGCAGAGAGGGAGGGAGACAGAATCCAGAGTGGGCTTTCTTTTTAAAAAAATTTTTTTTTCTCCACGTTTTTATTTATTTTTGGGACAGAGAGAAACAGAGCATGAACGGGGGAGGGGCAGAGAGAGAGGGAGACACAGAATCGGAAACCGGCTCCAGGCTCCGAGCCATCAGCCCAGAGCCTGACGCGGGGCTCGAACTCACGGACCGTGAGATCGTGACCTGGCTGAAGTCGGACGCTTAACCGACTGCGCCACCCAGGCGCCCCCAGAGTGGGCTTTCTACTCAGAAGAGTGCCTGGCTCAAACCCATGAACTGCCATGAACTTGGAGAAGCCGAAGTCAGGTGACTAATCGGCTAAGCCACCCAGGTGTTCCTCTAACCTAGACTTTGTAAAGCTCTGAGTCAGACCACTAGCTTTTTCCAAGTTGACTTATTTATTTTAAAGTTCATTAATTTTGAGATAGCATAGCATGGGAGAGCACAGGTAGGGAGGGGCAGAGAGAATCTCAAGCAGGCTCTAACTCACAAACTGAGATCATGACCTGAGCCGAAGTCACATGCCCAACTGACAGAGCCACCCAGGCACCCCTTCAAATTAACTTTTAAAAGATGTGGGTGACCGTTCATGTGCTTGATGAATATTTCCAGGCAAGAAGAAGAACGACGTAGAAGGGAAGAAGAGATGATGATTCGTCAACGTGAAATGGAAGAACAAATGAGGCGCCAAAGAGAGGAAAGTTATAGCCGGATGGGCTACATGGATCCAGTAAGTAAAATTCTATTGCAGTCTAGTTGGAGTTGTCTACAAAACTTGTAGGTACCAAAAATATGAAGTCTTACTAAGTTAAATATAACATTTCACTTTATAGTTTTTGTTTTTACAAGTGTATTATGATACGCTTTGAGTTTTATCTTCTTGGCTGGGCCTAAAGATTTCATTGGTTAGGAAGAAGCTCTATCGGTTTTTGGATAATTGAATTTCAACAAGTGGTTTCAGAATACTGATTTTAAAAATAGTCTTCATCTTTGAGTTTTGGAGATTTTTTTTGTCTAAGAATTCTTGGTATGGACATATGAAAGGGATTTTTTTGTTTCAGAGAGAAAGAGACATGAGAATGGGTGGAGGAGGAGCAATGAACATGGGAGGTAAGCATGAAAATAATATTAGCAGTACCATTCAAGAACTGTATTCTGGTTGAGTTGTAACCAGCATTTTTGTTTCCTAGATCCCTATGGTTCAGGAGGCCAGAAATTTCCACCTCTAGGTGGTGGTGGTGGCATAGGTTATGAAGCTAATCCTGGAGTTCCACCAGCAACCATGAGTGGTTCCATGATGGGAAGCGACATGGTAATGTATCCTGTGTGACGTAGTACAAAGGAAATTCTCATTTTTCACAACTTACGTGTGTGTGTTTTGTTTTCTGTTTTTTTTTCTTTTGTTTTGTTTTTTTAAGTAGGTAACTGAACCTCTTTTTAGTTCCTGTATCATGTAAATCATAATATTGAGGAAAACTTTGGCAACATAGAAGAACTCAGTATGCGGTAACCTAAACAGAAACGGTTGCCAACAAGAAGTCAATGCTGTCAGTAGTATGTTGGAGTTCTCTTCGGCAATAAGTAGACATAGGTGCTTTCCATTATATTGCTTGTGTACTTTTGCACTCTAGCACATGGCAAATCCAAATTCTAAATGTTAGATGATGTACCTGATTATTCTACATCCACGTGAGAGTAATCAAATGGCAAACTGTCATTCATTAAGCTGATATTTGCCATAAGTATGAATCAGACTTGCAGTTTATAGTTTTAGGCATGTTTTAGTGATGTGTAGGACTTTGACCTATATTTGGTGTGGTTTCTACCCATGAGAAGGGAGTTGTTTACTGTTTTGACTCGTCGTTTCCCACTTGTTGGGCCTGTCAATAGGTGCACCTTCTAAAACACTGACATCTCTATATTGCTACAGGATAGCAACAATCCATGACCATTTTAAGCATACTAGTTGTGTGCATTTGATCTGAACCTTCTTGATGCTTTCATATTTTAACTGTACAGGTAGTCTGTCAGGATGCTTTAGAAACAACCAAGTGAATTGGTCTGAGTGGCTGTGTTAGGGCTTTACAAATCCATAGGAAATTTGAATATTGGATTTAGAGGTGGGTTTAGAGAAGTGTGCATTTTCATAACTGAGTTGAATATGATTGGTTCACCTACAGGCTTTTGGCAAAGGAGAGGGAAACTGCAACACATAGCTCGTTAGGTTTATTTTACAAATAGGAATGTAAGGATTTATTATGGGGTCTAATCCATTTAAAGCCTACTTGAGGTTTTTTGAGAATTAGAATCATAAATAGCTGGTTGGGTAAACGTAGTGGTGTTTTCTTCAAAATGAATTTAAAAAATAACGTGGGTAACATTTTGGTTTATACGCTTCCTAAAAGGCAGATTGTAGGTCTGTATCAAATTTGTAAAATATAATTTGGCATGATGTTCCCACAATTGAGATTTTTTCTGTCTCCTATAACAGGTAGCGTTCTAAGATGTAATAACATAACCGTGAAACCCCCAAATTTTCTCATAGCTTTTGAGAAACACCGTACAATGTGTTAAAACCCTGACGTTTTTAGGTTTTTGAGAAATAGTTTAAAGAATTGAGATTTAGTTTAAGTAGCCCTGTAGTATATAGTAGAAAACATGTTTGAACTATGTATAGGAAGTTAAACACTGCTTTTTTCCCTCCCTTTTGGAGTGATGTTCTCTGTAACTGATTTATTTTGAATAGAATTTGTAAGGCTTTTGTGCTTTGCATATCAATAGGGTTTTTCTGTTTGGGAACATAGGTTTCTAAGATTAAAGTACTTAAAACTAGATGGAATAACGAAGTCCTGCTTTACTGCAGTCACTTAAGCTTGGTGTTAAGCTGTTTGGGAGATCCCCAAAACATGGAATCATAGCTAAGTGTTCGTAGACTTTCAAAGACCCGAAGGAAAAGCTGGGCTGGTGTGGGGGTGGGCTGTATATTTAGTCAATTTGCAACTATACTACTGTGAACATAATTGTCTCTGCTTATTTAGTGATGGTTCTGAAGGTGGTATACCTGTGAGAATATGGCAACACTTTTAATGAAGTTACTGTGCCGGTTAAGTGACTAAATCTGTTAGTCTTTTATGCTTTTTCTTTTTGTAGTCTGGTAGCATTTTATTAAAACTTTGAATGTTTTAAGATTCTGCAACTTAGCAGATGTGTCTTAAGATCTTGAAAAGCACAAGGTTTCTTATGCAGCTCATGCCACTAACTGGTGAGTAGGTCTTTGTCACTTCATTGAGTGAATTGAATCTGTCTGGTTGGGCTTGTTAGGCTTACTTGGAAATTAAATTTCCTGTTCAGACCTTGAAAGTGAGAAGTTTGCAAGCTTTTGCAGTGGGTTAATCTGATGTGAAATTTCTTAAAACTCATTTTGGAATGGGTTTTCACATCTGCACTAATTCTTAAATTTTTTAGCACTACAGGGAAGACCTATTCTTTGAAACAGGTGTATGAGAATGGCTCAAGTGGGAACATACCACAAGGCATGTATTATCGTAAACTAATTTTCAAATTACCCTTTTTTCCTTTCTATGTTCCCGGTACCTGTGGATCGACTCATTGGTGATTGTATCGACGAACGTTGACTACGGAACCTTCTAAAATATTTACTTAACACACATGGACATCAACTACATATAATGAACTGTTAATTACTGTTCCAATAGCGTACTGAGCGCTTTGGGCAGGGAGGTGCGGGACCTGTGGGTGGACAGGGTCCTAGAGGAATGGGGCCTGGAACTCCAGCAGGATATGGTAGAGGGAGAGAAGAGTATGAAGGCCCAAACAAAAAGCCCCGATTTTAGATGTGATATCTAGGTTTTCATTCCAGTTTGTTTTTGTCTTTTCTTGTTTAGATACCAATCTTTTAAATTCTTGCATTTTAGTAAGAAAGCTACCTTTTTATGGATGTTAGCAGTTTATTGACCTAATATTTGTAAATGGTCTGTTTGGGCAGGTAAAATTATGTAATGCAGTGTTTCAAACAACAGGGGAATTCTTTTTCCTTTTTATTTCCTTTTTTTTTTTTTTTTTTAACTGTATAATGTCCCTCAAGTTATGGCAGTGTACCTTGTGCCACTGAATTTCCAAAGTGTACCAATTTTTTTTTTACTGTGCTTCAAATAAATAGAAAAAATAGTTATAATATTGATCTTCAACTTTGCCATTCATGCTTCTATGCACATTAGGCTAGGTATTCCACTTCGAAAGCATGAGCGTGTCTAGGCCTTTGAATGGCATATGCCATTTCTGGGAAATGTATCTGTAGGCTAAGCATTGCTTTCTACAAATAAGTACCCCCCCCCTTGTTTTAAAAAGAAGAAATGCATATTGAAGTAGTTTCATGATTTGTTTGGCATTATAGGAAGCAAGCTGGTGCTAAGTATTTTTAAATGGTTATGTAAGCAAGCTGAACTGTAACTCTTCCTTCAGGAATGTGTATTAAGATTATGGAATGGGTGAAAGACTTGGTAGGGGGAGAAAGTGGGTATGACTAAATGGATCTTTATGGCCCTATGATCTATCCTTTCCTTGAAAGTTTCTGAAGAAAAAAGTGGAAAGATCATTTTGTTGCATTCCTCCATTCTTGTTTTTAAAAGAACAAGTCCCAAGCCCTACAAATGGCTTGTATTGAACTTTCATATTTGAATTAAAGATTGTTAAACATGAAGCCTTTTCATGTATTACTTCAAGCGATTTATGAAGATGGGGTTTAGTGTGAAAAATTCAACTTGCAAGTAAGAAGCGTAGTAACCATGAAGTAGGATTAGCTACGTATACATTTGTACTCTGTAACTTTTACATCTCCTTGTGCTACTTCTGGTGGACAAAATCTGTAGGGCTATGAAAACTTGTTCTCTTTTCTAAGAACTAGTGGTGACTGTTAATGACCAGTAGCGTTGTAGATCACGATTCTTACTGTAAACTATTTGTTAACCTGCTTTTCTATAGTTTACTTTTGATGTAGCACTAAATCTGGAGAGAGTTGCTCATGCTACACAGTACAAATACCCCTTTCTCCCACCATAAAGTTTTGGAGTGTTTCGATGGTGTTGTCAGCTGATTGTCAACTTCATTGAATCTCCTTCCATTAGGATAAGACATTCTGACTTAACATTAAAGTAGATTGTTACTGTTGTCTGATAGTACGATGGGAACCTGTTTTCCCAGAGTATGTATGTTAGCAGAGGAACAGCTTCCTAAAAGTAGGTAAAGTAATTGAATTGGTTTGGCTTTGTTCTTAGTTCCATTCAAATTTGTACATTACAGAACTCTTACTATGGAATGTGTCTTCCTCCTTTTCACCTCTGTTCTTGGTGCTAATTGGCAAAAGTAAAATTCTAAATCAAATCTTCGTTAAATGCTGAAGTTTAGTATTGTGCCTGAGTACAAAGGGAAACCTCTTGTTGAAACTCTGAGCACTTTCTGCATAGGAAACTGGATAATACTAAAAGTAAAACACTAGTGGAGTATAAAGGCATGTCACTCAATTCTGGTTGTGTGACTTGACAGGTACATGGTGTGCTAATTAAGGAAGAGAATCTCCTTAGAATATGTTTATTATTTCTTCCCCAAGACACTTGGAAGTGGGTAGTAGTTCCACCATAATTCTATCCATGAGGAAGTTTTGTCCCAAGTCATTAATTGGTGATATGTATGAGGTTTTCTGTATGGAAACAAGGGTCTGGATTTGAAAGGAATCCATTACAATTTGATTGAATTGTATGGTAGGGACTCCACTAATGACAAATTAAGGGGTGTTCATGGGACACCCACAGAGGGTGAACGTGAATGTGTGTGGGCGGGGGCTGGTGGGGAAGTGGGAAAATCTGCCTATAAAATTAATGTTTCAGTTTATTTTTCAGATTACATGCCTTTCTTTATAAGGGATGCTGGCACAGACCCCTAAAATAAGCTTTTGTTAGTACTGTACCTTTGAAGAGTGGTGAAGGATGCTAATGGATAATCTCCTGAAAGTTGTGGTTTTGCTAGCCTTACTGTGGGCTGTAGAATTGCTAAACGTTGTTTAGCAAATAATGTTGCTTAGTTTCCACTAAGTTTTGCCTTTTCCTCACTGAAACAGCAGTGTACCAAGGGTTGTAAGCTACTCAGACTTTCAATAAGTCTTGGAATGCATATGGTAGTTTTTAGCTTAATGTGAATTTAAATCCTCTTAAAAAGGAGTTTGCTAAAAGCTGATATGAAATGGGTGGGAAAGGGAATGTAGTACTTTTGAAGTATTTCAGCCATTTTTCTTATTTAAAGAAACCAGCTGCCCCCATTTCCTCTTCTCCACTTTCTCTCGTAATTTTATTTTAAGAGGAACACTGATCATTTTAAGCTTATTACTCCTAATCTTTAAACTGCATTCTCTACGAGATCCCAGTGTATTCAATAGGTACCTTATAAGATTAACTGAATGGCTCACATTATTTAGTGAAACCATAATCCTCTGCTTAGAACACTAATTAAAACTCCTAAGAAGTCCTATAAACCCCACCACTCTTTATATAGATGTATTATACCACTAATACAAACAGATAATAATTTGGGAAATTGTAACGTTACGCCTGTGCAATTTTTATAAGTGGCATATTATGGCAGACAAAAATTTAGATACTTGGCTTTTCTCGGGCAAGCCACTACGTTGTGGCGGGATGTTTTCTGGTGTTCTTGGACTGCAATTGTGCACTATTAAAGTAGTGGCCTGCTACATAACTGCATTTAGCCAGCATTTCTGCAGTGCGTAACTGTGAGGAACGTAGTACCGCAAATGGCAATGGACATTAGGACCCGGATGTAGTATTCCTGCTTGCTCCAAGATTCTCATTGCCGACTGCATACAGGTAGGTAACAAGCAATATAATCTAACTTGGTGACTTGCTATGTACTTTTATTCCGTGGGCATTCTGACATCACACTTCTGACCATGAAATTACAGTGCAGCACCTAACACTTGGATGGTAAAGCTAGCTGTTATCAAAACTGCGTGGGTTTGGGTTTCAAGCTGTAATTTGTCAGGCAGAAATCAGTGCTGTTGCAGTTCTCAGATAAAAAGTGCAAACTTGATTCTTTGGTACATCTGATGCAGTTGTGTGGTTTCCTTTAGTTGCATTGTAACTGAAGAGAACGTGGAACACGTCAGTGGTGTGGGGGAGAGGGAATCAAACCATACTTGGAAAGTAGAGTGCTTTTAGCATCTTGACATGGACTGTATAGCATGTGATACTGAGTCTCTGTTGTAGCAAACTGACCTGCCCATAGGTCAGCAATATCCATTTCAGAATGCAATCTTGGTAATCATTCTGCAGGTTGGAGTGAATTAAGACTAAAAAGTACAGTGGTTTGTTTTTTTTTTTTTTTTTGTAATGTGACTTAAATTTTTTTTTTAATGGGCTTCATGGGAATACCTTTGTTACTAACGTGGGCTTAGATGGGAATCTAATGTGAATAGTTCCAAGTTATGTGACTTGTCTAAATATGTCTATGCTCTAAACCTGGGGGAAAGTGGTGTGGCATGTTGACTTGCCTGCAGTTGAATACACGTTGGGAATCATTTCCCAATCCTAAGACTTCTTCGTCGTATTCTGTAGGATGACTGCAAATGTTCAGAGTAGATTTTTGAATTTGGTTCCCTTAGCTTTAGGGATGTGATGTTCTAATCCAAAATGCTTACCAAAAATAAAAAAATAAAAAGTCTTCAAAAGCAGCTTTGGTTGCTTAGGACTTCAGCTTTGTAAGCTTTGCATCGACTGTTGTTCCAGACCTCAATTCAACTTAACTTTGGTCTCCGAGCTGGTTTTTAGCTAGCATGCATGGAAACAGCTTTCACGTATAATGCTTTCTGCTCTGTAACTGGAAGTTTGGTTTACTTTGCATAAATGCCGGTGAAAACTCTTCGTGACTATGAGAATTTTCTTCCATTGTATCAAGAAAAATGGCTTGCTCTTTGGCAAGCAATTCACAAGGTGGGGACAAATTTGTACTTTAATACGTAGTCTATTCAAACAAATACCTTGACTCTCCTGTTAGGTGAAAAAGCAAATGGTGACTAGTTTAGCTCTTTGTTAATAATACAATGCAGTTCAAACATAATGCTCAATATTAGTGACAATAGTGTCGCTAAATTGACATACAACCCCGATGGGATTTTCCTGTGGCATAATCCATTAAATCGGTGGCCAACACTTGCTACCGTGATTTAGTGATTCAAGTGTTTAGAAATAAAAGCTCAGGTTCATTTCTTAACAGTCAATAACAATTTTGAGAGAACGTACTTGTTACAATATATGGACTTGAGGAACATCATTGGGGTGGGGGGTTAATTTTGCTTCATTTCTGCTTATTTCAAGATGAGTAGGCTTTTGCACTTTGAAATGAGAAACCTGTGACTTAAGTCCATTCTAAACTAGTTTCGATTTGTATGTAGCTATAATTTGTGAATCTTAGTGTAGAGGATCTTAAAATCACTCACTCAAAAAGCTGGGAATAAATGGGCTTCAGTAACACCACTATACCGAGGTGCTTGCATTGTATTTCATAGTGTTTCCTTGTTGCAAACCAGAATTATTCTTTTTAATGAGAATGGTCTAAAGTTCAGAGGTGTGATGCCAGAATGCATTTTCGTACTGTTAGGCCCTTGGAACAGATACCGGTGCTTTCCGAAAGATGAAAGAAATGGAATGGGTGCTCTTCACACAAGGTTGCAAAACCTACCAAGAATGTATAATAGTCTCATTTTTCCCCAAGAAAAGAGATGCGTGTGACTAGTTTCGGACTTTTAACCTTAATGGGGGTTGCATGTCTCCTATTGTTAATCATTGTCAGCTGCAGTGACATGATCAACAGTCCTGCATTTTTATTGCCTTTCCCTTAATGATTTTGGACAGGTTTGAGAGAGCCAGGATGCTTGTTCTGGGCCTTTATTTGGTTTTGGCTTTAGCTGATAATGTTTCAGTGTCTGTCAGCTAGTGCAGTTCTCAAATGGCTGCCTATTAGGGAAAGAATTCCGAGGATTTGACTGCTCCTAATCATCTGTCATTGCTGCTAGATAATGATTGGCAATTTTTAAGACTCAACTGTGGAACTCTCACAGTTGTACACCATCAACCATAAAAATGTTGCTTTTGAACACCAGTGCTGAAAAGATTTTATTTGGAGGGTGAGAAGGGGGCTGGATGCAGAGTACTAGGATAATCTGGAGAATGGGGGAGAATGCAAAACGATATAGTATCCCTTATGGATGGTACATGTGCAACAGGGAACTCTTATTTTTTATACCCTTGGCAGTAACTGATAATCAGGGAGGAAGAAAAACCTGGAACTTGAATTAAGGCTGATCTTTCTGGTTTTTGTGCACTGCGGCCCTACCAGGCATATATATAGTGAAGGTGAATGTCTTCTCCCTCAGAAAAACGCAGGTTCCTTGCTGTCCCGAATAAGGCATAGCTTTCCTGCCCCAACTTAAAACTCAGTGAGGACTTGGAGGGAAAGAACGAGGCAAATACATAGGATTGCAGGATAACAGCTGCAGTGTTGTGTACTGTGGAGTGGGGAGGGCACTCTTCTTGGAGGACTCCTGCTGAAGGTGGTCAGTCCACCTGAGAATGGAAGACATACTTGAATGGGGGGCAGGGTATGTGCTTTTATATGAAAAGAGAGCTGATGTTAAAACTCATTTGGTAAGGTAAACGTTGTCACATACCTTCACATAAGGGATAGTATATTTTGGGTTGCAGTCAAACTGGATTGTGCTCAGACTGGTGAAAATAGCAGTTAGGCTTTTGTATTTCAATTAAGATACAATTTTTATTTGAATTCAGCTGTCTACTTTATTACTTTACATAAGAATAATTTTAGATTTTTTTCCCCCCATCAAGTTTCTTCCTGTTGTTTTTTTATTCCGTAACTTGCCCCCAATCTTTTGTCTCTGGAATTTACTCTTTAAATTTTGAAGTTAACTAGCATTTTCAAAACCTTTATACCCTTGTCTTTTATATTAACTTTCTTTTATTATTCTTTAGGTAAGAATGATTGATGTTGGCTGATATTGGAGTACTCATTCACTTCAAGTAAGTTTCTTTGGAAGTCCTAACCTGTAGAAGAGTTTGAGTTTGATTTGTAAAAAGGTTAAATAATTTGATTTAGCTATGTGGGGCAAAACATGTTTGATTTTTAAGATGTTTACCTCTCCTAAGATAACGTCCAAGTGTTTTGTTTCTGAAAATAGTTGTTTGCATGTGAACGTGAGTGGGAAAGAGAAAGTGGGGAGTATTTTATTATAAAAGTGTCAAACAGTAGGAGAATTGAAAAAAATGGTTGAATCTGTACCTGAAACTAATAGAACTTTGTGTGTCAATTATACTTTGTATGTTATTAACTTTGTATGTTAACATTGTATGTTACTTTTACAACTATAGAAAAAGATACATGGTTATGTAGAGAAAATGGACAAAGAAGGCTTGAATTAGTGGAGAACTGCCATCTTTTTAGTACTCTAAATTCCACTTTTGACCCATTCAGAATGGGTCATTGGTAGAGGAGGAAAAATTCTGAAGTGTTATGTGAAGAAAATTTAGAATGTCACCTTGGTGTGGGCCAGGTCCTTCCTAAGTAAAAACAGCAAAAGAAAATACAAACCACTGATTGGAACCCAGACCTGTACCCCAGAATGTGCCTCTTGTTGATGTGAGAATACAGTGTACATACTAACAATTAATTTAAAAAAATGTAATATGCTATATAAATTCTATTTTTAATGATAGGTGGATAAGCTATTAATCTCAAGATGATATCCCACAACATGAGCCAAGAAGGAAAGCCACAACTTGTTAGATTCAGGAAGTGTCTGGGTAAGTGGAATCATTCTTACTTTGTAAACTGCCTTCCGGACAACTCTTGGGTGTTCCAAACATGATTATTTACGTGTGAATATTTCATTTTAACTTACTCTGTGTTAAAACTTCCTTGTAGGGAATATGTTTTTATAGTACATATTTATAATCATTTTAACAGCCTTCTTGAGGTTGTAGGCCTTGTTTGTTGGTTTGCTCAAGCCTCAGGAAAACAGGGACTTCAGTTTTCTCTAAGAGTATGTATGTATATCTACCTTTGTCCATTGAACTATGCAGAGGAGAGTTTGGAAAGTTTAAAGTTCCTTGGTTGTTTTTGTATTTTTATTTTAATGTTTATTTTGAGAGGGTGTGTGCGTGAGCCAGGGAGGGGTAGGGGGAGGAGAGAGAGAATCCCAGGCAGGCTTTGAATTGTCAGCACAGAGCCTGACACAGGCTTGATCTCATGAACCAGGAGATCATGATCTGAGCCAAAATCAAGAGTTGGGTGCTTAACTGAGCCACCCAGGTGCCCCAGAGTTCCCGGTTTTTTAACCACATAGTCACTTGATGGGATCTCCTATAGTTGATCTCATCTGGTTGATGTATTTAGAAGGGTTGGCAATTTTGGGGTTTGTGTTTGTTTGGTTTTGTGAGATTTTTTTTTTTTTTTTTTTTTTTTGAGAGCAAGTGTAAGCGGGGGAAGGGCAAAGAGAGACAATATCTTAAGCATGTTCGTTCCATGCCCAGTGAGGACTCCCATCTCATGACCATGAAGTCATGACCTGAACTGAAATCAAGAGTCAGATAGATGCTTAAGCAACTGAGCCACCCAGACACCCCCCGGGTTGGCAATTTTAAAGAAAACTCAGCTCAACTCTGCTATTCTAGCTGGGAAAGCCATCATAGACAGTAGGTAAACAAATGGACATAACTTTGTGCCAGTATTTTACAGAAAGGTAGTAGGTGGACAATAGCTTACTGTCTTCTCATCTAATACAAATTGCATAAATAGATAACTAGATAAACACTCAGGTTTAAAGGGCTGTCATAATCGTAGTTTGAAAAGAGAATAAGGTAGAAATAGCAATAATTAATTGACTATATCTTAAACCTAGGGAAGGTGCCAATTAATGGAGTATCTTATATCTTCCTTGCAAGAGTGGTTGCTACTTAAGTTGTAGTGAATGGAAGTAAACTTGAATCAACTAGCTGGTGACAAAGTCTGGTGTTAAAATCATCTGCCTCTTAAAGAATCCTTAATTATATAGGTCATTAAATATTGTTAATACCACACTCCTTGATTAGTATTGTTTGGTGTTAGGAAGTTCACTTGGTGCGAAATGGTAAATGTTTGAGAACTCTGATTCTTAACATATTTTGGAGTAATTGTTTCTTTTAATTGGCAGGATCAGGTGAACTGTGTCCAGAAAACCAGTGAGGAAGAGGGCAAAGAGGAATGAGCAACCTAATTGTTGTTAATAAAGACATTTTAAAATCAGATTGTGCTTTTATGTGTTTTGGTTTTTGTTTTTAAGTTAGGACCTTTTGTTTCCTAGAATTCTCCTTATATGTCATCACCTTGTTTCTAGGTGATATAAAAAGATGCTCCATATTGTGGGCATAGAACTGGTTATAATTCAGGACTCTTTCAGGACCTTTTTGGCAGAGCT